CTGAGAGATCTGAAGGTCTAGCAAATTTTTTAAAATATTTTTTTTCTGAACCTCTATAGTTCTATATTTGTCCCACAAAAAAGCAGGTTCAGGTTGTATACCACAAATGTTTAGCCACTACCCTAAAAAGTGGCCTGCAATAAAATCAACTGTATCAAAGCCAGCCAATAGAAACATAAAACATATCTGAACTTTTAATCCCAAATTCTAGTCGACTGGCTTAACTACTTAACAGAACATCATCATTTAATAAAAGGTGAAGTAAGAGGTCAAGCAGGCTTTCTTGGGTAGACAAGTTCTACAGTCAAAGCCAACTGTATCTCAGATGTCAAGAGCCTTCTGAGATTATGGAAACATATAGAGGCAACATTAAATGGCATCCAGATCATTTATGACTTGGAAAACCATGTTGAACAATGCCTCAAAACCAAGTGCAACCAGGGTAAATCTTTTAAAGGTAGGAATAATACAGTCTTCTTTGGTAGGCTTTCTCCAGTGGGCTGGTTACTGCATCCTGAACCCACTGTCATTTCTAAGCATCTTTTAAGGGCAACCTTAAAAATGTAAGAAATCAACAAGGGGTTTATTATTAGTTAATCAGCAGAAATATGATGACAATTCTCTTTCCATGAGGCAATGTTTTAATGAATAATTTGATTGGAATTTATGGTATTTATTTATTCATACTGTTTAACAATATATTTTAAATGTTTTCCTACAGCCTCTTACCTGAACACCAGTATTTTATCTCCTAGTTTCACACTTTCTTCTACTAGATGAAACAACAGCACCATCTTAGGTGAATTTTGTAAGACTCCTGTCTGATAATCACAAAGGATGTCTTTAGCCTGCAGGTAAAACAGAACATCTGTCAGTACCATGACACTTGCTATATCACAATTCAATTTATGACTCAGGAATTCCCTAATATCCTATGTGTCCTTACAAACATAATCAGAAACAAGAGATCTAGCAGCCAGCTTAAGCAATACAATAATTTATACTGAAATATAAAGCTTTTAGAAACAAATTCATTCATTAGCAAAATAATGCTAAGTCCTTCCAAAAACAAGCAAAAGCTCATAGGTCTATATATTTTCATAAAACATATCCCTTGACAAATTCTCTATTAATCCCTTAAGTATCATAATTATACTGGAAATTGATTTTAAAAACCCTGAGCCTTCTGACATACTACGTTTGTGAACCCTTTTGAATTGTTAATATTTCTGCATAAATATGTCCTAAAAGGTGATCTGTTCTCCACACAAGTCCTAAAACTAGATAAGGAGAACCTAATTAAACAAATGAGTCAAAAACATTATACTTGTTCATTGATTTATTGAGGAAAATGATCAAAGCTATATATTTGTGTGTGACAAAGATACATAAACTTCTAGGATTATCAGTTCATTTGAAGAGAAATTAGAGTCAGGTGTTTCAATCAATGGGATTATAAACAGGTATGAGTGTGGGAGGTCTTGCCTTATTTGAAGAACAGAATTCTGGGTATTCACTATCAAAGTCTGATCTTCACAACACAGATATATGGAAGTATGTCCTGGTTCAAACAAAGTAGATTTCTGAGGACCTCCAAAAAATAGCTGTTGATGCTCACCAGGTTGGAAAAGGTTACAAAACAATTTCCAAAGTGCTTGGACTCCACCAGTCCACTGTCAGGCAGATTGCATAGAAAGGGAGGCAACTGAACACCACTGTTATCCTCCCAGGAATGGTCGACCAATGAAGATCACACCAAGAGTAAGGCATATAGAACTCTGGGAGATCTCAAAGAAGCCCAGGATAAGGTCTAAGGAACTCAACGCCTCTCCTGCATTGGCAAAGTGTTGAAGTCAGTGTTCATGAGACCACCATCAGGAGAATACCAAACAACAATGGTGTGCATGGCAGGGTTGCAAAGAAAAAGTCACTACTCTCCAAAAAGACCACTGCTGCCTGTCTACAGTTTGCAAAAAAACAGATGGATAAGCCGCAAGGCTGTTGGAAGAATGTTCTGTGAACAGATGAGACCAAAATAGAACTTCTGGGCTTGAATGAAAAGCGTTATGTTTGGTGAAAGGCAAACACTGCATTTCAGCATAAGAACCTTATCCCATCTGTAAAACATAGTGGCCAAGTCAAAGTCCTGACATTAATCCTATAGAAATGTTGTGGAAGGACCTGAACCAGGCAGTTCATGTGAGGAAGCTCACCAACATCCCTGAGTTGAAGCTGTTCTATAAGGCTAAAATTACTCCCAGCCAACGTGCAGGACTGAACAACTGTTATCACAAATGTTTAGCTGCAGTTATTGCTGCCCAAGCAAAGGTTCACATACTTTTGCACATACTAATATGTAGCTTTGGATCATTTTCCTCAATAAATCAATGAACAAGTATAATGTTTTTGATCCATTTGTTTAATTAGGTTCTCTTTATCTAGTTATATGACTTGTGTGGAGAACAAATCACCTTTTAGGTCATATTTATGCAGAAATATTGATAATTCAAAAGGATTCACAAACTTTTAAGTACCACTGTAACTCAATGTTCTTAGCTTCCTTCGCTGTACCTAAGCTGTTGTGATATTGTCCATAACCTCATGTTACTTAGATAATCCTCCAAGCAAACCAATTACCAGCTACATTCTATAAAAGCACAGATAAAGAAGTCCCCAGTCCCCATAATATAAGAATGATCAGAGAACTGCTAAAAGTATAATAGCAGTAAATGGTGCAATCCCTCTTGAAGCTGCAATGAGTAAGACCGAAAGGCAAGAGATTCTTCACAACAAATGAAAAGAGGAGCCAAAGGTAAGAAAAATACCACTGCTACATAGAACTATTTCATACATAACAGTGTCCCTTAAAGTATTCTCTATGGGAAATGAGTCCATACATAGCAAAGGCTGAGGTTGGCATGAGTACTGGTATAATTGCAAATAAGCACACTGAACAACAGATGAGTACAGAAGATGCAGCACTGTGATAACTCTTGGTGAAAATAATACATTTGTGCATAGGTACATACAAGATTCTGCTTCAACATCCACCATGCTCAAGAGAAAAGGAGGAAGAAGTCAAAAATACCAAAAGTCTTGACTTTGGTACTCACCCATTCATATGTTACAACCTGATTGGCTCTCTCCTGAAAGGGGCTGAAGCCAATGCCCTGAATGTACTTGCTATTGGTAGCCTCCCCAACTGGAGATGGCAGAGCATTGCTCTCTGTTTTCACTTTTATGCCCTGGGACTGGCAGCGTGAATTGGTACCAGCTGTGCCAAGGTCATCCACATCCAGATCTTGCTCATTTGCCAAATTTTCTTTTTGCAATGCTTCATATAGCACATCAGGGTGATTCCATATCTGAGAGAGGATGGCAAATTATCTGGCAATTATTACTGTCAAATACTCAGATTTTTATTTATTAAATGTTATTAATTCTAGGTATTTTTCATTCCTGAGACGGGTAACTATTTTATTTACCTATAGCTATGGTTGCCCCACTGAAGGGGGTGAGCATGAGCAGCAGTAATTTTACCA